TCCTGCCGCAGGCCCTCGCCGCGCAACTCCTGCCCGAAGGGGTCCCCGCGGAGACCTGGCAGAGCCTGGGCGGGAACGGGAGCTCGGAGCCCGGAGACCGTGCCTGCTTTGGCTTGGCAGCTGCGCTGCGCGGAACTGAGCTGAGCCGAGCTGAGCTGAGCGAGCGGAGCAGCGCGAGGAAGGAGGGCGGCGGCAAAGGAGGAGGGAGGGCTGATTTTGCCCAGATCCCCGAGTGCAGCGCTGTTTTGTTTCGGAGCTGGCGATTAGCGGCGCTTGTGTGTTTATTTTGAGATGCTGATTCCCAGGGTCTGGCGAGGAAATCATAGGATACTGGGACACTGCGGGCTCTGTCCCTCCACCAGGGAGGCTGCTGTCCCTACCCCCCGCTACACTCTGTGGAGGAGGGTATTTGAAGGAGGGAAAGACGCTAACTTTTGTTGTACACCTACTCTGTGCCTAGCTGTATGCTGGGAGGTTTACTTATGCTATCTGCTCACCTTCTCCACCCTGACTGCACACAATAATGGCATTACTTTCACTCACTGTATAGATGAGAAAACTGAGGCCTCAGCCAAACAGTTAAGACAGGATCAGATGCCATGACTGTCTGACGATTGTTCTTCTCACAGCGGCTGTTGGAACAAGTCGGACTGGAGGATAAGAAATGGACAAAATAACTCATCCATTGGGCCCAGTAGGCGCAGTGCCTTGGAAAGGAGTTTTGAAAGGCTCAAAGGAAAGCCTGTGTTTCCTTGGCTTAGATTTTAGTTCAGGTTCTCAGACTCCAGTGAGATGTTTGGAGAGGAGCTGAGCCCCAGGGCTCACTGGGCAGAGCCTCGGGCATCAGCCCCAAGGCCAGGCAGCAGAAGGCCCAGGTGCAGAAATTTCTCCCAGGGTTTGCCTAGGGACAGGCCTGAATCAAACCTTAGTCCTGCCACTCACCTACTGTGAGACTTGGGAGAATAATTTAACCTCTCCAGCTTCCTTTCAATGCTCTGGGGAAGGTATTTGTGAGTGCCTGTGGGCCAATACACTCTTCCTCTAGGGGGTGCTAGGATCAAATGAATTATGCCATTTAAAACTTGGGCTCATCTTTTGGTTCCCTGAGTTTAGGCTGACCCAGGGAACCACAGCAATGAAGACCAAGCCTACCGTGGAGATGCCTCAGGCCTCTGCCTCCCTTCTGTGTGCACACTCCTAATTAGGTGCTCTCAGAAACTTCAATTACCCAGCTCCCGCTTCCCCTGGGCAGTCAAGACACCTCAAGAGTCTCCATTAAAAAAGCAATCTCACCCTAGCTGGTTTGGCTCAGTGGATAGAGCGTCAGACTTCTGGGTTCAATTCTGGTCAAGGGCACATAACTCATAACTCGGTTGCAGGCTCCTCCCTGGCTTGGGCCCTGGTCTGGGTGGGTGCAGGAGGCAACCAACCAATGTGTTTCTCTGTCTTTCCCTCTCTCTTCCATTCTCTCTAAAAATCAATGGAAAAATATCCTCTGGTGAGGATTAAAAATACATAAGTAAGCAAGTAAATAGCAATCACCTTTGCTTTCCAGGTCAGGTTTCTCTCTTTGACATCACTAACAAACAGCCCGGATGAGCCATCTGCATTGGAGGTCCTCATTGCTCTTCATCTGCCCACGTACTCCTTAGTTCTTTTGCTGAGACTCCTGCTGCCACTATTAACTGGACACCTTTTTTCAGAGGTCACCCGAGAGTGCCCGCTTGCTGAAGCCAATTACTGGATGCTCTTTTCTCAGCCCTGATCCTCCTTGACCCTCAACAGCACCTGAGCCAGCTGACCAGCCTTCCTTCATAAAAGTGACACTCAGATTCACATCTGCGTCCTGAGTGAATTATCTCCAGCGTCGCTATATTGGCTTGGAGCTCATGCTAGACTCCATGGTGCATAATTCTAGTCATACAGTAAGTTTGCATTGAATGTAGATGTAGGGGTCAACTCTGGGCTGAGCAGTGGGCACCAGAGTGAACAAAAAATTCATTCATTTATTCATTCATGTTGAAGACTCTCCATGTGCTCAGCTCTGGGACACAAGACCTATATTGCCTCTGTGGATCTTACAATCCTGTGGGAAAGGCAAATATTAAATACAGTTCTATGAATCTTCAAATTATAATTGTGATATATGCTACAAACTAAGTGGTTCATGAGAGTACACCCAATTTTTATCTCAGAGGACTGGAAACTGCAGAGATGCATATTATGTGGCTCCTGTTTCACAAAGCTCATGATAAGCAAAGAAGCCCAAATATATGCTCTTGAATTTCTTTTCATCTAAATCAGCACATTCAAATCTAACATGGAGGTGGGTGGTGTGGACCAGGCTGGGATGTAATAGTTTATTTTTTATGGATCATTGACAGGAAAACCATCTGAGATAGGAGCACCCCCCCCACACACACACACACACACTTCTATTTTCTAGATTAGGAATCTATAAAATCACCTGTCTAGGTGCCACAGCTAATAAGGGGGAAAGAGCAAGCATTCAAAGCAGGCCTCACCAACAATAGAATAGGGTTCTTTCCACTATACAGGGGTGACCTCATCATCTGGGCAACAACAGAGGCTCTAAGCAGCCCATCACGCTTCAATGCCACTACCCAAGCTAGATTTTCCCTAGCCAGCTCAGCTGTCACAGCAGACCTCTGCTCCCCTCACACATCTAATCCATCACCAAGTCATTAGCTTCACCTTCCAACTACCTCTTGAATCTGTCCACTTCTCTCCATCTCCTCTGCCACCACACCAGTCTGAGCTGTCATCATCTCTCAGCCTCCTAATTGGACTTTCCGCATCCACTCTTGCTCCCCTCCAATCTGTCTTCTGCACTGAAGCCCAAATGCTCCTTTTTACAATGAAGAGTTGGATGTCAATCCCAGGGTTTAAATCCTTTTTCAGTGGCTTTTTAGGGCTCTCAGAACAAAGACAGAATCTTTAATGTGGCCTCCAAGGCTCTGCTGGATAGCAGCTCAGGCCACGCACCCTTTCTCTCATGGGCTCCAGCCACCATGGTCTTTCTGCTTTGTGAACTTCTGCCTGTGTGGTTCTCTCTGCCTGGAATCCAACACTCTTTAGTCTCTCCCACCATCACCCTCTCCCAGCCAGCTCCTATGCATCCTTTAGATCTCAGTGCAAAATTACTTCCAAAGAGAAGTCCTTCCTGATTTCCTAGGACAGATCCTGCCCCTCTTTATATGCACTCCTGGAACCTGATGCCTTTCCTTTTAATGTTCTCAAGATTTTTAATTACTTATTCATTTGTATGTTTGATTTGTTTTTGTATCTGTTCGGTGCCGGTCTCCCATCACTAGATTCTGAGCTCTGAAGGGGCAGGGGCTGTCCCTGGAGCTCACCACTGTATCTCCATGCACATCACAGAGCCTGTCTCCATAAATATTTGTTCTATGAATAAAAAGTCCTTGTCTCCCTAGGACTCAACTCAGTTTCTTCAAGTGACCTCAAGACCCTCCACAATGTGGTCATAGATTACAGACAGCTCCCAGTGCCACCCAGCTGGGTTCCCTTGTCCCCCACTTTCAGACTTGACTTGGCGCATTTGCTTATACCTTTCCCACCACCTAGGATGCCCTTCCTTCTCCTGCCCATTTAAATTCTCCTCTTCTCCATGGAATGAGATCCCTCATTCTCTCCCCCAGACTTCAGCAGAACCTATGAGGAGAGTTTCTTATTTTGACTATTGCATTCTGATGGATTGTCATGAACTATTGTGTCTGTGTCTCATCTCCTAGCAATGAATCCAGTTTACTTTCTGTTTAATTTCCTGTTCAGATGTTTTGTTCTGTGTAAAATACACTGGACTTCAAGAAATCTCTTTCCAGTTTCATAGCCTAAGGCAGAGCTGACGCTAGTTGCTAGGATGTTGCTAGGGAAAGTCATTTAGCCAGGGTAGATAATTAACTTTATCAGTGTGTGTGGGTAAGTCATAGAAGACAAGAGCTGGGGGCTTCACTTCTCCAAGAAAAAAAGTACACCTTTGATTGAAAAAGGTGAGATCGGCCTCCCCTCCAATCCCTCTCTTTAAGGGAGAAGGAAAGAAAACTTGGAGTTTCTAGATTTGTGTCTTTCTGCATATGGTCATTGAAACACAAGCATCAGATGTTTGCCTCAAATGCTGATTCCAAAACCCCATCCCAGACCTATTGAATTTGCACTTTGAACAAATTCAAACTGAAGTTCAGGGAACCACTATCCCAGAGCTTTTAACTCATACTCGAGGTGCAGCCATCCCTCTAACTTCCACTGCTCCAAGGAGCTTAGCTCCCTCCACACCAAATGCCTCCCCATACAGAAACACCCTGGGTTTGGAAACCTTGACTCTCAACAGCCCTCTCTCATTCCACCTCCAACTTTCCCATTTCCTCGCCCCCTTGCAGTGACTCTGGGTCTATGAGACCTATGACTGCATAATCACTTCTGCTCTTCCCACCTGTCTTGTCAATTCCTTCCTCACTCAGTCTGGACACCATGCTTAACCATTTTAACCACATCCTCACCAACACTCTTCCTTAGGTCACCTCTTCTATTTCTCTAACTAACCCCCTTCCCTAGATCAGCTAAGCAGAACAACGGAACTATTCCAGACTTCTGAGTTCTGCTGTATAAGACCTGGCAGCCCCACCAGCAGCCTTACTACAAACTCATGAATTCTATCCTTAACCATACATCTTAAATTTATTCCTAATCAATTTCCTTTCCCATTCTTCATAGCGTCTTCTCTCTTGCTTCTAGTCCTTATCATTTTTATCAAGGTTGCTATATCCCTCTTGTTATTCTCACTCTTTGTTCTCTTATTTCACCCTAAAATAAAGTACATTA